CTTTAGCCAGCGAATTACAAGGTCCAGGTGTACAAGGAATATTAGATAAAATAGTTTGTATAAATTCAAATTATTTCTTGAGTGGACCAAGAGATTGCTGTAGAGTAATATCTAATTATACAAGACAAATCGCAGATTCAAGAAAACAATTGATAATTGAAGGAAATAGAAACATATTAAATGATGTTAAAAGGTGGAAACATAATAATTAATAGAATAATTTTTTATATAAGCAAATTTGCTATTATTTTATTCATCTTCTAGAAGAAACACATGAACATTGTACTATACATATAAAGATTAACTTATTACTAAGCTTCAAGCAATTCTTAAAAAAAATTAAAATATTTAATTGCGATTTTTATTCAACTTCAAATAATGAAGAATTCTTTTTATATCACTTATTTTGCAAATGATGATTTTTACTTTTTTTTTTTGACAACACCTTTAATGATTTTATTAAAAACATAATAGTCATATTAATAGAAAAAACATCGAAAATAATAGTAATAATTTACTAATAATAATAATGGTGAACAATTAACTAATGAAGATATTGATTTGTTGAATAATAATAATAGCAACAATAGTAAAAAGAATAACAAATAATTCTAATAAAATCAATAACGAATAATTTGAATGAAACGAATAATGAATAATTATAATAAGAACTAATATGTATTACAAATAGAACTCCAATTATTGCTTTCTTTATTATTATATTTTATCCTATATACTACGAGTATGATTTTAGTAATGCAGATATATCCATCCAACTAAGTGTCTATGCTAATGTATTCTTACTAAAATTCCAGACGTAACGAGAAATTTATTATTATTATCATCATCTAATTAATTTAGCTAGCTCATCATTATTTAAATAAATTTACTTGATATAAAAATTGAATTTCTTAGTCGGTTAAGCTGGCTAAACTTAACTAGGGGGGTTTACCAGCTGATATTAAGGGTCTGAACTTTTTCTAGGAATGACAAAAAAACTTCACAAGCCGCTTAACTTAAGGGAATTTTCTTGAAGACCTTTCCAAGCGTGATTGCAATGATGCATAATATATTGTTTAACAGCATTCAATATTGTTGAATTGTTCACAATAAAATTTGGGTAGAAGGTGACTTTATGACCACTTGCCTCAATTAATTCTTGAAGTAAGGGTTTGGTGCAGTGTTGTGACCAGAAACTCTTTTTGCTTCCCGAAACGTTTCGGAAAATGAACTTACACTAAGCAAAAAACTAAAACTAAACCTAAACATAAACATAGACTACTAACATAAACTAGTTTCGGGTGGTTTCTGTTAGTTTCTGTTTCTGGTTTTCCCTAAACTCAGAGTTTCGGGTCACAACACTGGTTTGGTGTTTAAAGTCATCTTTGGTTGCTAAGCTATACCTTACACAACAAGTCAAAGGCTCCTCAAGAAATATATGACAGAAATTGATAATGTAATATAATATGTCTATTTATCAGCAGCAAGTTTTTTATATGATCATTAAGGATGTATAAACGTAAGTACTTGAATTAAATCACAATATTTTAATTTTACTATCACACGATGGGATCATGTGACATTGAAATTTGAACGCGTACATACATAATTAATTTGGGCCAAAATTAAATAAATGATTCAAAAATTTTATAACATGATTTTTAAAAGCCAATAACCTCCAAGACGAACAATGATTAAAATTACCTTATAAAGTTAACTAAACATCGTCTCTATTTTTAGACAAGCATTCAATATTTCCTTATTAAGTTTTAAAAGTTGGCCGATTTTTTTTTAGTGAGCAAGTGAGTGTTACGCAGCCAGAAAGTACACTCATAGTATTCAATAAGACTTATTATTAAAATTAAATTATATTGCTGTATACTAACGAAAAATATCTAATTACAGTTATATGCAAAAAGAAAGAAAAAGTAAACGAATTTGGGTGGATGCGTTTTTAGAAAAGTCGTTTTTAATTAATGAATTTATGTAATCAAGAACATCTTTAGCTTGGAAACTATATTGATTTTTCCCCAAACCAGATTTTGGATGAAGAAATTTAATTTTTAGTGGATTAGCATTTCGATATTGTTGAAGTTATTGTTCGCTAGGCATTCCTACAACACCACCTTCAGTTGCGCTTTTTTTCTTTCGATATATTCTTACAATTATGAATAATGCTATTGCAATAACTATTACTCCACATGGCACTGAAGTTATTATTATAATAGTGTTCCGTGATAATGGTGGTGTTTCTGTTTGTGATGGTGATGTTAAGTTTGCCTCAGACGCCGAATAACTTGTTTTCCAACTATAATCTTTAATATTAAGAATATACGTGTTTGCAGTGGATAATACTGGATCTGTAAGATTATTTGTGATGTTTCCTATATTTACATATGTGTGCATATGTATTTAATCTAATTAATTTTTAGACTTTGTAAGGATAAAAAAAAATTTTTTAAAAAATTAAAATCCTACCAAAATTTATTATCATTTGATCTCCGATTAAATTAGCTGTATGCAATGTTAGAGGTGGAGCACGATTAGTAGGCGAAAAATTGGGTGCAGACCATTGAAAAGGATTTGTGGTTGTATCCAGTATCAGAAGTTCAGGAAATGCTGTAATTTTTACAGGAAGTCTATTACCGCCATAAACAATTATTCTTCCATCGTTTGCTATATATATATATATGTATAATTTTAGCATGATTTTTTTTAAAAAATTTAAAATTCAAAATTCAAAATTAATTACAAAGTACAGCTGAATGACCAGATCGAGATTGAAAAGATAGTGGACCATTTGCTGTCTAAATTATAGGGAAAGAGCAAAATAAATATTCAGATATTCCTATAGAAAACCTTAATTATGATTTACCATAATTGACCAAGTTGAATCCTTTGTATTAAAAGTGTTTAACTATAAAATAAATAATTAAATATATGTATAAATTATTTTACTTTTTAAAACAGAAAATATATAAAAAATAATGCATACTTTATACATGTCAGCTAATTGAAAAGTTTTAGCTGTAATATTAGTTGTCTGATTTCCACCAATAAATACAATTCTACCATCAGGTAATAAAGTTGAAGTATGACCAAAAATTGGAAATGGTGGATCATTACTATAGACGACTTGATTCCAAGTTAGGTCTACCGTATTCAAAGTGTACATGTCATTAAAAAATTGATGAGTAGAAGATCCAGTACGTGGACCTGCTGTCCCACCAAAAATATACATTTTTCCATTACTGTCCACAACAACACTGCTCTGTCTACGATTAATAGGAGCCATACCAGTTGTTTTTTGAATATTCCAAACTTTTGTATTTGCATCATATGTATGAAGTAAATCGGTTGTTTTCTTTGGTTTCATTAGTCCACCAAATAAAATAATTGTTGAATTATTTGATCCGCCGACTGCACCTACGCCCCAAGAAGTTTTTACAGGTATATTGTTGCCATTTACCCATGGCACATTTGTAGCATCAAAATCACTAGTTAAATCCACGTAAATTATTGAATTCAATGGAGATTTTAATTCCCGACTAGTACCTCCAACAATGTGAAGTTTATTATCTATCACTACACTAATAGCTGCATAACGTGTTACATTAATATCCGAAAACACGTTATTAACAATGATTGTTAAGATAAAGATCAAATAAAATTTATCTTTGAAATTAATGCTCATGGTTATTTTTTTTTAATTATGTCAAATAATTTTAAGAGATGATTTCTTTTCATAAGAAAAAATTTAATTTTATCATAAATTGCTCGCATTTTCTTCTTTCCCATTTTTTGATGTAAAATTTATGATCAACATTATTGTATTCTAATAATGTAGGAAGCGAAGGTGATTTAGACCTAAAAAGGCTAGTTCGTTTTCCGGACGAGGTATCAGGAAATGGTGGAGGGGGTTTAGGAAAGGGTCTGCCGAATCCCATTTAGAAGGAAATTACCGTAGTGTTTTTACAACTAAAGGAAATTATATCAAGCCAAGTTGGTACGGTTTCTAAGCTAACAACGTTCTTCAAATTTGATAAAAGAGCCTGTTGCGTCCACCCTGTATGTAGTAAACAGAGTTATGTTCTTCCATCCCTTGGATTATTAGGATAAGATAAGGAATTAGGAGCAAATCGAGAATTCCTGTATTGTCAAAGTTGTTGAATTATGCTGTGCAACCACTATTATTCCACCCAAAATTGGTTAATGAGATGTGGTGCTAAGTTTACATACATAACTTGTTTTTCAACTAAATGTTTAAAAAAAAAAAAATCCCATTTTTAGTTTGCTATACAATATATATTATTAGAAATGCTAGCCAGGTCTGCTGTGTTCAAAGTGTACAATAATTAACAGACCCAGTAACTTTATCTGTTAATCTATTTTTATCTATGAAGACGCCATTTTTTTGACGATTCATGGGAGCAACACCAGTTGTCTTTGGAACATTTCAAATTTTTGTATTTACATTATATAGTGGTTGAAATGAATATACACAATAAATCTCGGTTTAGCGGACATTAGAAATTTTTTCCAAGAAATCCGTTATATTAAGAAGAGTTTTATAATTTTATCAAGATTTTTAATTAGTATCCGTTAAATCGAGGACCGCTAGATCGAGATTCACTGTGTATAATATTAATTCACCTAGCAAAAATCGAATTCGATAAATAATAAATACATTTTTTAGCTCTGTGTTCTTTAGACCATCGCATAATAATAATTATACAATTCAAAAAGGCCTGAAAGTCCACCAAACGTTGTATCAAAACTATAGACAATATTTATTTTTAAAGTTACCAAATAGATTTTTCTATATCACCAGTACTAGACTTTATTTGTCTTGTTTGAAAGTATTTCGTTTCGTTAATGGTATATAAGGAGAGAAAAAGGTGCACTATTTTTTAAAAAGATAAACTTTTATAAAATCCGTTTAATAAATTTCGGTTTCGATTTTACCATTAAAAATTGTTGATTCATAGCTGCACTTACGCTTCAAGCAGCTCTTACATGTATATAGTAACCTTCCAAGAATAAGCCATCTTTGGAATTCAACTCATTGACTAATTAATTCATGCAATTGCAATGAATTAAAATTTCAATCTGAAATTGTTTGCAAAATAGAATTTGTCAGAAATCTAAATTTTTTATTTTTATTTTTATTTGCAAAAAAATTTTACATTAAATTAAATTATTAATATATATTAATACAAAAATTATTATCTTCTTAGTGCTAATTGGTCAACACTACCAAGATTATTATAGTGAGGATTAGGAACAATTCGAGTATATTTATTTTGTTGAACTTGTTGTTCACTAGGAATTTCTATAACATCAAGCGGAACATTTTTTTTCCTTCGATATAATTTTACAATTATGAATGCTGCTATTCCAAATATTATTAATCCACCCAAAATCCCCACTAGTATTATTAATATTTGAACAGCGCTTTGTGGTGATGATGATGTATCTGATTCTGATGATGATGATGTTGACGATGATGATGTTGCTGATGTTGTTGTTGATGATGATGATGGTGATGATGATGATGATGATGATGATGATGATGATGATGATGATGATGGTGGTGATGATGGTGTTAAATTTGCCTCAGCTGCCGAATAACTTGTTTTCCAACTATAATCTTTAATATCAAGTATATAGATGTTTCCACTAGTTGATTGTTGTGCTGTAAGGTTATTTGTAATATTCCCTATATATATATATATATAATTTTTAATTTATTTCAGGGGTTGAAAGAATAAATAATTTTTAAAAAAAAAAAAAAAAAATACCAAAACTTATTATCATTTGATTTCCAATTAAATTGGATGTATGCAATGTTAGAGGTGGAGCACGATTAGTAGGCGAAAAATTGGGTGCAGACCATCGAAAAGGATAGACCGTTGTGTCCAGCACAATAAGCTCAGGAAATGCTGTAGCTTTTGAAGGTTCCCTATTACCACCATAAACAATTATCCTTCCATCCTTTGCTATATATATACAAATTTTAGCATGATTTTTTTAATTCCAAAAAAAAAAATTTAAAATTATAAAATTTGATTACAAAGTACAGCTGAATGACCACTTCGAGGTTCGATAGATAGAGGACCATCCGCAACCTAAATTTTTTATCCAATTGTAAGAAAAAAATAATTTAAACAATTCTATCTTTTTTCTTTTTTCACAAATAATATTTTTTAAATATTTACCATAGTTTGCCAAGTTAAAAGTTTTGTATCAAAAATTTTTATCTATTAAATAAATAATTATAAATATACGAATATATATATATATATAGAAAAAAAAACTTTAAATTTATATATATATATATATAAATGCATACTTTATAGATGTCAGCTTCATAATCGTTTGCACCTGTAATATCTTTTGCCTCTCTTCCACCGATAACTACAATTTTACCATCAGGTAATAAAGTTAATGTATGATCGCAAGTTGGTAATGGTGGATTATTTACAGTGACTGGAGTCCAAACCAGGTCTACCGTATTCAAAATGTTCAAATCGTTAAAAATTTGAAAAGTGACAGTCCCAGTAAATTCATCTGCTAATCCACCAAAAATATACATTTTTCCACTATCGTCCACAACAGCGGCATCCTCTCTACGATTAGCGGGCGCAATTCCTGTTGCTTTTGGATTATTCCAAACTTTTGTATTCACATCATATGTATAAAACAAATTATCAAAGTTATTTTTATTAGTGTTTGGATCCTTCATAATTCCACCAACCAAAAATATCGTTGATTTGCTTATTCCACCAACTCCAGTTACTCCCCAACAGGTTTGCACGGGAATTTTTTTTGCAGCTTCATTAACTATCGGTGCATTGGCAACATTGAAATCACTAGTTAAATCCAGATAAACCACCGTATCTAACATAATGTTCAATTCTACACTAAAGCCTCCAAGAATGAAGAGCTTATTATCTACCACTGTACTAACAGACGCATAACGGTTTATGGTAAGATCAGAATACGCATTGGTAGTAATAAATATTATAATAAATAATAAATGAAGCTTATATTTGAGATTTAAATTCATTTATTATTATTATATATGGATGGGGTGATAGATTTAAGAAAAAAGAGTTTAAAAAAAATATTGAGCGTTAATATCAATATTAAAAAAATTCTATTGTATTAATATTATTAATATTATCAATAAAAAAAAAATGTAACAAACAAAAAATGTAAGACCGATTTTTTTATTCTTTTTAGGAATTGTTTTTGTCAATCAAAACATTTTACCGATAACAATATTAATATTAAGCATCTAAATGTGTGTTCTTCCATGGAAAAAATCAACGAACAAATCAACTCTCCCTTCAAATGAATCAAATTTCGGTTGAAACGTTTTCAAGTTCTAAGATTCCGTTAGAAGTCGATTTGAAACTACAGTAATATATAATACATAACATAATAGTGTGATGACAAAATTACGAAATCCAATCAATGAATTGCTTATATATTTATTCGTGTGATTCTTTTGGATGTTCAAAGAATTGTTTAAGTTTCTTGATTTTTTATTTTATTTTATTTTATTATTCTTATAATAACATGCATTAAAACACATAATTACTAATAACATTAACGATAACAGTTTCGGCGATTAATATTAATTGTTTTTGAAATATATACTAAACAACCTATTTGCCGCATCAGGAAAACAAGTCATCGTGAATACAATGTGGCAACGCTGTCTGCATCAGGAAAACAGATATGTTGACGGATAGAGTCGCAAGTTGTACAGAATGCCATATACACGACCCCAAATTGCTTCTTCAAGAATTAATTTCAGCTCGGAAAGCAGCTGCCCAGTTCTCCCGAGGATCTCATTTAGCAATTCAGCTTGATAAATTAAGAACACCTGCGGTACTTTACCTTTTGAATGAGTGGTTGGCTGTGATCTGCAACTTGCATTTCCCTTTTTTGGAATTTAATTATTATTTGTTATGTGATGTTGATCACAATGAATTATATAATAATAATAATAATAATAATATAATAATAGTAAAGCCAGCTGAATTTATGCGTTTTAATAATATAGAAGGCTTTTGTAGAAGTCTTCAATATTAATGAATTTCCATTTCAGCGAACACAATTAAATGTATCACGACATAGGAAAACCTAAATGGATTTGTAAATATATTTTTTTTACCAGACCATAACATAAATAAAACTCGAATTCATTGTTATTTGCCTTTTGTCTTTAATACCGTTGTCACTATTATTTTCTGATGATGCTCGAACATAAGCTATATAGCAAGGATTTTTGTTGTTCGACATCATAACATTTATCCGGCTTACACACAAAAAGTTTAAATATGTATAATTAAAGTTTAAATACTTTTCTCCCCATGACACAAAATCATGGGTTTCTTTCTTTCCTCTTGAAAAAATAAAAGTACAAAGTAAATTTAAGTATACTTTTTGAGAAAACTTAATCTTTGAGAAGGTAAGTGAGCGTTTTGAATATAGAAATTTAAAATAAAATAAGTTATCAAGTAACAAATTAGTAAATAAGATCGATTAGATAATTCGAATTCTTAACATACTGGTGATAATAAAAGAGATATCAATCAAAATATATTCAAGCATGGATCTATTTTTAAATTTATAAGAAATCAATATATAACAGTGAAGTTGAACTTTCTTCAAAGAGATATTATTCTCAAAGGATATATCACATTAATTATTTAAAAACGGACACGAACTTATGTGACTGTGTGCACGTGAAAATATTTTGTAGTTTAAATAAATAAAAAATTTGTAACAAATTTTATTTTATTTATTCCATCCAAGCCATCACCACCTTCCAATAATTATGAACATATCTATTAGATGATTATCTCTGAAGTTTTATGATATTTAAGTTTCCGAACGAGTCAGATTTTTAAATTCAAAATCGACAATTCGACGAATCTGGACACACAAGAAAAAATCGTGTTCATCTGAATAATTTCATTGGATTATTTCATTTATATATTTGAATCAGGTTTGAATGAAACGAATCAAAAATCAGATTATTCGATCCGAATTTCATTGATTTGTTCAGAGCCTTAGATAAATAGGGAATGATTTTTATAAAGACAATTAGTTCACCATACATTGATTTAGTTTGCTAAAATTATTGCTCATAAAATGACACCATTCTTTATTGACGTTGACACTATCGGATCACTAAAGATATATCATGATAATTAATTATTTACACTGACATTTAATGACCATTCCGATACATCGAAATTAGATGAATGTCAATTTTGAAAACGGTTTTCAATCTCTAAAACAATTGAAGGTGCAAATTTTATCATCTCTGTTATTTCATTACCTTCATCTTCAAATATAATTTCATGAATATCATCAATATAAAAAATTCCAGAAGCGAGAATTTATTCATCAAAGATTCAATTGGAATGCATGAATGAATTCTTGTCAACAGCCTGAAGCTAAGGAGGCTATCTTACATCAAGAATTTTAATGTTGGATGATTTAAAACTTCCCAACATCTAATGAGATTTTAAAAAGTTTTACAAGGATTTTAATTAATGTTACTACTTCATTGCAAAATGTAATATCATATCAACAAGACCTAAAATTTAAGAAGCAATCTGACGTGCTTTTCATACAATGGGATTGACTGAGGATCTTGTTAATCACCGCAAGTGTGATCTTTTTGCTTTATTTCAAAGAAAGCGACAGAAATTTCTGAAACAATCTACAATGTTTTAAATTAGTCTTTCTTATCCATCATCAAAATTTTTAAGAGATATTTAAACAGATTGAATTCTTGGAGTGAACAATAATCCACTCATCTTGGTCTTCTAATAATAACAATTGTAATCATTGAACAAAATATCAAATTATTTAGCATATGAGACTACAAACCTCAGATATGTTGTACCTAGACAGGGGTGATTCTTTGGCGTTAAGCAATAATCGCAGAAATATCAGATTCGGGTACCAAGAGCAGAATTATGTCTAAAGTTGATTAGGTGCTGAATATCTTTTTATTTTTGTAATTGATATGTCGCGATTTTTTTTTTTAAAAAAAAAGTTGATACCTCATACAAGATTAGTTGGAACCTTGTGGACAACATTAGTAACACCTGTTGAATTTACCGGTGCTATAAAATGAATAAATAAAACATTCTTTGATTCACAAATAGTGATTACTAGTTGCTGGTGCTATAAAATAAAAAAATAAATAAAAAAATAAATAAATAATAATTACGAGCAACATCTGATGTACTTGATCCTTGTCTTTTCGTAAATGTTCAAGACTAATTGATTGAACTGGAGTTGTGACCCAATGATGAAAATAAAGCTTAACAGGACTACCAATGTTTTGGAGTTTGTTCTGTTCATTTTGTCCTTTAGTTAAAACAAATAAAAGTTAATAATAAATGTATTTTTTTTTTCTTTATAATGAATGTGTGATTATTTACAAAAAAAATTATTTTATAAAAAATAAAGAAAAAATTTGTTTATTTATTATATTTTCACAAAACCCTCGCGAACTATATCCAAATCAATTGATAATAAGAAATTCTGTTTAGAAATGACATGAGTACTCATAGCATGTTTGCAGTTACTGAAAGTGGTTTTTGAACAGTAGTGGCAATATCAATCTAAATTTGATTTAATTATTTCATTAATTAAAGGATAAATGACTTTTCATTGACACTATTGTTCAAAAAACCATTTCCGTATATGTTTAATAACAATATGAAGGTAAAACTTTACTATTAATGGCAAATTTATTTTTTTTTTTGCCGCAGAAAATCATCGTCCCTGTATGGATCTGTTTTAATTGGCTCACGTGTATTTGAGATATTTTTGGTTAATATATTTATGAATTTGTTTGCATCCCTTAGAATCATCAATACAAGTAACGGTTATTCCCGAATTCTATAAATATATAAATATAGTAATAGGGGAATGAGTTTTTTTAAAAAAATTATTCTTTCAATTTTACACACTCGCACTCACAAACTCTCGCTAATTCACCAAATCAATCCCTCCCTATTCACTTTTGAATAATAAAATAAAAAATGTCTTCGGCTCTAAAAGGCGCATTTATGAGAAATTGGTATCGTACTGAAGCAGTTCCACTCTATGGCGTCACTGTAATCATTATTTATCATATTTATTTCTATTTTTTTAATTTATTTATTACTCTACAAACAATTAACGGTTATTAATAATTGATAATTGATTAAATAGGGATTAGCTCTTGTAGGTGCTGGTTGGTATTTAACTCGTTTAGCAAGAGGACCCGAAGTTGTATGGGATAAGTAAGTATAAGTTTAGAGAAGAAGAAAGAAAAAAAAAAGAAAAATTAATATTTTGTTTGAAATTAATATTCATTTGTTTGAATCAGGAAAAACAATCCAACACCGTGGAATAACATTGAAAAAGGAACACAAGTTAAACTGCTTGCAGTTAGCCAAAATTTTGATAAAAAGTATGTGTTAATATTAACAAATTATTTTGAAAGATTGTAATTTTCTTTTTTTTTTTTTTTCAAAAGCAAGTTAAATTAATATTCCTTTTACTAGATATACTCGTGATAGATTTTAAATACCATCAATACTAGATACTATCCATACCATATATTATCAAATATATTTTATTCTTCTAATAAAGAATGTGCGTAAACTAAAAAAAAAAATAATAAACTAGAGATCCAAGTTAAAGATTCAACTTCTATATTGACACATCATCATATATATTTGTATAAGCCAACTGGATTAGCAAATTTTTTGATTTATTTACCTCAAACCTCCCTAACTGAAAAAAATTAAACTTTATATTTTTAGAAAAAAAATGTTATGAACATAGAAAAAACGGATAAATGAAAATAAATTAATGCAAGCTTTTATAAAAATCGCAAATTATTTTCCAGCATTGATACTACTGTATTCATTAAAACTTGATTAATTGAAGATGTATCTTGTAACTAAGGCTCCGAATGTATCACTCGGATCTAGATTGAAAATAGGCATATTTTCAAGCAAAACCTTTTTTTTCTATATAATGTCAAATTTAACAGTGTTGGTGTGTAAGTGCTAGGTAATATCCGGCCCTTGAACTGGTTAAAAAGAATATACTTTTTTTTCAACAAAAAAATTTACCAAAAAATCAATAATAGTTTTTTACATTATCCAATTCTCTATAAAAGGATTTTTTATTTAATATATTTTATAATTTTATATATGCTCTGCGTAGAAATTGATTAAACATTTTTTATATCTACTATCTTAATAATGACATTTTATATTATCATTAGACAGAAAAGATCTTGTACTAGACCTTATTATGAATTATTTAATAATTCTCTACCAATTGCAAATGGTATTTATAATGATACTTGACACTTCATCACACGCATCTCATAAAAATTCAAGTGGCTACATTTTTATTGTTAATAATTGTAAACGAAAAGCTTTTAAAAATGAATTAAAAGATGTGAATTAGGCAGATTTTTAGACAGTGAATTTGAGCCACTAAACTTTGTTAACCAAGTGCTTAAATCAGCGACAAAGAATTGACCAGTTGCTTCTACAAAAATGGGATAATAAATCTTCAAGAAGTCATAGCATATTCATGATTCATATTGCAACTACGAATTCAAATACAAAAGAGAAATATTGGGTTCATTGAACCTTATTGATTTAGCAGGTTCTGAGAAAATATCAACATTTGAAATCTGTAGAATCATCTGATAATCCTGATCGTTGAAATGCTTCTTCATTACTATTTTAATGAAGTGTGACCATAGATCAGACACAGGACGTCCTGTAGCTAATTCTTGATTATTGTTAAATGAATTTTCAGATATATTATCCAATTTTAATGTTTGCAAATTAGAAGGAATTGGTGAATTGGGTGAATTAGAATTTGACATCATGAATTTTATTTTAAATTTACTCCATATTGTTTTTTGTTGATTTCGTCACTTTCGTCAAATTCCTCAAAGTGTAGAAATCCTATTTCGTCACCCAACCTTGGTCATTATTAAATCATTATTTGCAATGTAGGATCCATTTTTCTTTTGAGTAGTCAAGAAATTCTAGTAATTTGATAAATAATATTTATTACATATTATCAATTTATATAGAAAAACAAAAAACAAAAAAATATATTGATTATGATGACTAACTCTACTGCTTACAATACCTTATTTTATATTTAAGTGGTCTACAAAAGATTTATCTTCCGTAATATTTGAAATTGCAATTGAAGGGCACACCTATGACTTTTCTATCACAAGGTTTGAACCCCAACAATATGTTATTGGACTTTTAAAAGTCTATTTTTAATCCCATGTGTTTAGCCATCCCTATAAAAAAATTCGGGCAAAAAAATATAGGAAAATGTGCGGTTTTCCATACATTTCCTTCCTGAATTTTTTATAGGGCAAATTATTCAGTGAATGGTAGCTTTGCACATTATTCTTTTAAATAAGTGCAATTACCAATTATCCGAATCAATGGTATTACTATTGTGACAACAACTTCATCATTGAATTAAATTGATTTGTCTCATGTTAAGTTAAAGTTTGATGTTGTATTATAAAATTTTGAAATCGGCTCCTATATAATTCCGGCCAATTTTATTTGATGCAAACCAAATTATGAAGTAAAAATGGATCAATTTAATTTATTCGTGAAAATTAAAAAATAAAAAATCTGCATTTAAAAAAATTCTGTACAGTCAAAGCAAGAAAAACAAAAAAAAAAATTAAAAGATAGTGGAGAAATTATTATTAATAAATAACTTAATGATTAATTAAATATTTCTTTTTTTAGGGACAATAATGATTCTGCTAATTCTGTAATTCTGAAGAAGACTTTGAAGAAATGTATCCATGTTTTGGTGAAGAATTTGAAAATAATATTGAATCTTTACTTCGATTACTGACTAATAATATGAAAAATTATAAGGCCAAAAGGCTATTATGGAAATTCAAAGAGCACGCTAAAAAGAAGAAAAGCGTCAGCAAAAGAAAATGTCAATAAGAAATGGTCAAACTCTTTATATTTTTGTCACGAGTGACTAATGTTGCATGACGAAACTTTCGACTTTAGTCATTGACGTGACGAAAGTGCTGACTAAAGTAGTTTCTCACCAAGAGGCATTTTGACGATTTGACGAAAGTAAAAATAATCGACGAAAGTAAAAATAGTTAACGAAAATAAAAAATCAATCCTTTTATTTTGCAACTTGTTTATTTATTATTTATAGTTACCACCACCATCATCATATAATCATAAAAAAGAAATTTACTTTCTCTCTAATTACTGACATTTAATTTTGAATATATTGAAAATTCATTATTACAATACATTGTTAAAATTAAATTTTTTTTTGATTTTTTTTAAAAAATTACAAATTTTATATATGCACATAATAATATGATATAAAATAAATCATAAAGAATAAAAAATAATGTAAAAATAAACTGCTACTTTTTTTTTTATCATTTTTTTTTGGCTCACTTCTTACATTAAAACAACATAATTTACATAAAAGAAATGTTTACAATGAAGTTGTAAAAAATAAAAAAACAAAAATATGAATAATTATAGTTAAAAATTTAATAAAAAATTTTTTTTTTTTGTTTTGCAAAGATTTTAACTTTGGCCAAGGGTTTTAACTTTCGCCAAGGGTTTTTACATTCGCCAAGGATTTAGTCTTTCGTCATTTTTGTTACATTTGACGAAATAGTTTCTCAACTCCAAAAACATTTCGTCATGCATCATTACGAGTGACAAATGAAAATTTGATCCTCTATATAAAAGTAGATTTTAAATCATCATTATTATTACTACAGTGTAGAGATGTGCCATTCATAGTATCACTGATTTTTTTTTCGCGCACTGTGCGCACAGTGTATTAGTATTATAGTAATAGTAATAGTACACAAAGAATTTTAAAATGTTCTTCGCATCGTTTTACTGTACTATTACACTCAAAACCACATGCATTAAATTTTGCTCTTTGTTGAACAAAATCATCTACATATACTATTCAGTGAAAAAACTCCAAATTTTGCTACTTTTTGTCATTATTGTAAAACAATTACTTTTTAAAATGAATTAAAACAATCTTTTCGAACAGGTACTTTTAATGAATGCCAAATACAAGTTATCTTTAATTATTATTTAATATATTATTAAAACGAAAAGTTGGCGTATAACTTTTGCTTATTATTTTTCCTATTTAAATTCTTGTCTATCTGGAGAATCATTATCTCGTAATTCTGAGAATAGAATAATCTGTATTTGATAAATAAATAACTAGTTCTCTTAAAAATAACGTAAATATAATGTAGATAATCTCATCTGCCCAGAGATTTCTAAACATAATTGGTAAGAAAATAATTAATGTAACGTAACTAATTATCACAATTAAATAATTAAGTCTAACTAAACATTATCGTAAATTGTTACAATAAAATTTACAACAAAAGAACAAATAGAATATATACACTAACCGCGCGTCCTAACAATTTGTCTGAATTAGCAATTATCGTAAACCTTTTGCACGCTATGTAGTACAACATGAGAACTATGCGCGCAGCACATCTCTACTACGGTGCATGTCAATTAAGCTATTTACTGATAGTATTTATTTATTTATTAATTAAACATTAGTTGAAGTTAAGAATTTTGTTACAACTAAAGGTAGGCTCACCAACGCGTTTGGACTTGTAGTTGATGTTTCAGGTATGTCCGATTCTTTGTTTTGCAAACTATTAACATTGGATATTCTATAAAATATCACGGGCTACTATTTATAAAAATCATACCCATCACTAGGTAAATATCTTGTTAATTTGAGTATATGAAAATTTTGAAGCATATTTTTAATAAATTAAATAGATGTGTTACCTAAATACTGTATATGCTATTTCCTTCCTTTTAACAAAAATGCTTTTCCAGTTGATGCATTTGTATCAGAAGTTGTTGGTTGCTGGTGCATTTGGTATAGTAATATGTCTTCTTGGCCTTCGGTTCCGGTGACAGATTTCAAAAAAAAAAGCCGTTATTATGTCACTGATTAATTTTTGGGAAAGCGAATTTAATTGATTCCAATAAAAACAATAGGTTATGGTATGATTTAATTATTTCTCAAGTCGAAACTTGTTATTATTTCCTTTTATTCAAGAAAAGTTATTATTCATTAGAGGGCTACTTCCACAACCTAGTCTACTCATCAACTCTGATGACGTTATCTATTAAGTCTACTATTGTACCCTGTCGGCTTTGTCGACCAATACAAATTAAATAACTTGCACGTCTAAATGTAACGTAACAAAACATTAACAAATATTAATAGAATAAAAACAATAAATAAATAGGATAATGTCAATAAGGGATCTAAAGGTGTGTCGCGAAAATCAATCAAGCAACTTACAAATAATAATAATTCTACATCTTTATCCGTCAATTTAAAAGTGTGATATGGTGCCATTTTAATAAATGCTCATACATTCATTAGTGATGTTAGCTGGCTAAAAAAAATTTCACTTGACATTCATTTTTACGTCTGGAATTTTAGCGCAGAATTCAGTGGCATAGTCATTTGGTTGAGATGGGTTACTTAGAACATACAACATTTGTTTAAAAAACAAAATACAATACATCATATAGCAGGATAAAAGTCATAGAATTTCTATTAGTAATACAAATTCTTATTTTAATTCGAATAATTATTATTCATTTTATTCGAATTATTCGTTTCATTCGTTCTATTCGGACCATTAATGGCGAAATAATAGTAATAATAATTAGTAATAATAATTAGACCGGTAAACCTAGTACCATCTGAAAAGTTTTTTCATCAACTAGGATTTATTTAAGTTCTTATCGGCTAAGGGTTGTTCGGCTTAGCTGGCCAAAGTTTTTCTATCGGCTAACATCACTAACATTCGCGCGCACTTAAAAATTCACTATAATTGTTTTTTTTTTTTTTTTATGTCGATTTCGACTTGAATTTCGGAGCAAAAGAAATACAAACAATGAGCATATTATTAAATTAAATTCTATCCAAACACAATTAAAATATTTCTTCTGGTCAATAATTCAACAAGTGATTTATTGACGCACGAGTTAAAAGTTTTATTTTTAAAGTTATGAATACAAAATAAAATTTATAATAAATATGATAATAAATATGATTATTTTTACAAGATTAAAATATTATTTAACCGGTCTTTGGAACCAGACCACAGTACAGACCTAACTTGGAACAGGAGCTTCTGATGATGATGGATCCGGATAGGCTATAAAATAATAAATAAATAAATAAGGCATTCTTTTGATTCAAGAAAATAAAAAAGAGAATAAACAAATAATAATTACGAGGAGTTTCTGTTGATGATGGATCCGGATAAGCTATAAAATAATAAATAAATAAATAAAGAATTCTTTTGATTCAAGAAAATAAAAAAAGAGAATAAACAAATAATAATTACGAGGAGTATCTGTTGATGATGGATCCGGATAGGCTATAAAATAATAAATAAATAAATAAGGCATTCTTTTGATTCAAGAAAATAAAAAAAAGAGAATAAACAAATAATAATTACGAGGAGTGTCTGTTGGTGTATCCGGATAAGCTATAAAATAATAAATAAATAAATAAGGAATTCTTTTGATTCAAGAAAATAAAAAAAAGAGAATAAACAAATAATAATTACGAGTATCTTCCGTAGGAGTGTCTGTTGGTGTATCCGGATAGGCTATAAAATAGTAAATAAATAAAGGATTCTTTTGATTCAAGAAAATAAAAAAAGAGAATAAACAAATAATAATTACGAGTGTCTTCCGTAGAAGTGTCTGCTGGTGTGTCTGGAGAAGCTATAAAATAATAATAATAATAAATAAATCATTCTTTTGATTCAAGAAAATAAAAAAAGAGAATAATTACGAGTGTCATCTTGTCTTTTTCGTAAATGTTCAAGACTGATTGATTGAACTGGAGTTGTGAATCCAACGATGAAAATAAAACTTAACAGGACTATTGTAAAGATTATCAATGTTTTAGAGTTTGTTCTGTTCATTTTGTCCTTTGGTTATATAACAAATAAAAGTTTAATAATAAATGTATTTAATTTTTTGTGAATAAATAAAATTTTTTTCTTTATATCGTTATTATTATTATTAACAAAAAAAAATTATTTTATAAAAAAAAAAAAGGACTTGTTCTATTTATAATATCTTCACAAAACCCTGCGCGAAGTATATCCAAATCAATAAGAAATTCTGTTTAGGAATGATGTGTGTTTGTATTCATCTTATAGCAAGTTTGCAGTTGCTGAAAATGGTTTTTTGAACAGTAGTGTCATTAAGATGAAATTTAGTTTAATTATTTCATTAACTAAGGGCTAAATTTCGTCTTAATGAATTGTCATTGTCATTATGTTCAAAAAATCACTTCCATATATGGATAACGACTAATAAATAAAAAAGCCAACATCAAAATACTTATAAAAAAGGGATTTTCATTTTCACAAAAAAATTTTTTTTGTATTTAATCTAAACAGTTTTTTGAAGTTACATAACCCGAATTCCCTTGGCAATAACTTTTTCAAGCGATTGATTTTTCCTTATTATAACAAATCCATTAAAAAAAAGATAATCCAAATAAAGAATTAGTTATAGAATTCTCAGGTGATCTTGATCTAAACCAATATAGGTTAGTTTCTAAAAATTTCAATGGACAATTATATTTGGTCTCAATTCATTTTTTAGTGATTGCCAAATTTTATCAATTGAATAAGATAATTGACACGTTCTTGCATAATATGAACATTATGGGCGGTTCTGGCACGATGATCTTTACTTTAAAGGGTGACAGTAAAATTTCAAGGGTGGTTGACAAGTAAATATGTGCATTGACCTCAGATATTTGTAAAAACAATTGAAATAATTTGGTCATATATACGACTCAAATGTCCACCATGTGCATAATTTACTTTTATTGATGATTTATAATCGTCCCTATTTCCTGTTCCTCAAATTGAAATATAAAAAAATAATATTTTTTCAAGAATATGAATTTCTAATCCAACTAAATAAATAGAAGCGTGCAAAAACACTTTGAAAGCAAGGTATTAAAAATGAAATAAGAACAAGATAGTTGGTAAAGAACATCCCAATGTAAAAAGTTGTGGACTGTGTTACAATTGTTACTGAATATGTTATTAAATGAAATCCCCAAAAATAGGTTATTATATGAAATCCCCAAAATAGGAAATATGGAAAAAAATAATAAATGATAAAATCCGCGTCAATTTAAGAGTACAAGTTTGGATTCTTTTTATTGATGATATATTTGATTAGAAGATATTGTTTTATGGTTTCATCAAAAGAACTCAATAAACAATCTCTTAATTAGTTAATAATAGATTGATAAAGTCATTGCCAAGATAACTTTAACAATATGCATGATTATTATTTATAAAAGGTTGGATATAGTGATATATAAAAAAATTATTTAAAGAAAATACACGTTGTTATGGAAACTAGAAGTTGGAACCAGTTTTAATCACTATCACCTTTTCAAAATCACAGTCAGTAGAGATTCCGTACAATACCATTTTTTATTTATATTTTTATTTTTTAATTTTGTACGGAACGGAATTTGTGAATTCTAAAAAGTTGATTTGTTTCATACAAAGCATTTTTTACTATATACAGAGGTGCAGATGTACGAAATACGGAACTTCTATAGACTCTCAAAATCAGAACTGGGAAGTAAAATTTCCAATTTTAATTTACATATATTAATATTAAATTGTAACAACAATTTCCGCAAATATATATTTATGCTTTACTCTCAAAACTATTCTTTCACTGTATTAAAAAAATTCCTTGCTAAATTATATTATTGTATTAGTGTAAACATTAAATAAATGTATCATCATCTTTCGAATTCACATATTGTGAAATAGTAATACTGTAATAGTGATTTAAAGATCACGAGGAAATTCGGAAATGATTTATATTTCAAGGATTCAAATAAGTCCAATTTGATAAACCAATAAAATAATTAACTCGCGGGAATTATCAAGAAAGTAACATTTCTTTAATTATTTCCAAAAGAAAGGTTTGTTAATTTTTAAGGAATACTTTAATTAATAATTTTAGAATTGGGGAACTAGGTGATTGAACCTTTAACATGTATAAATAACATTGTAATTTTCTCAATTAACGAATAGTTAATTCACAATAAATAACCAACTGTCCTTAACCTTAATCTTGTCCTGTCCTTGTTCTGGTCCTTGATTTTATATTTTCGTACTAATCCCATTTTTATTATTATTTTTTATTTCTTTTTTTAGTAGATAAATTTTATTTAGTAAAGTTTGGGAAATGTACCTGACTTGAGTAGGGAGTAACAGTGTGAGAGGGCATCCACCAAGAAACGTGGTTAGAATATAGTGTGAAATCTAAGGATATTGTTTAGTATTGCTTAGCAAGGAATTGTTTAATGATGGTGAAAGATAGTTTTGAGAGTAAAGCATAAATATATGTGCGCGGAAATTGTTATTACAATTTAGTATTGTATTATTGTATTAGCATAAACATCAAATAAATAAATTATCATCATTGAAACTTGGACACAATTTCACAATATACATTCATATATAAATTATATATACATTAATAATAAAACCGGTTTCCCGAAATAAAACAGTTTTATTGTATCCGTTTTTATTATATCTGTTTTTCCTGAGCATATTCTCATACAACATATTATATATGTACAGTTAATACTTCCTCATCAACACATTATTAATAATCACATTAAAATTTCATTAAATAACATTTATTGAAAACAATATCAACTTATAAATACTTCTTCAGTAATCCCAATTCGATCCAACCCATATGGACCATTTGCATGTAAATTTAAATTATTGAATGGTATAACACAAAACATTAATAATCTGATTTTTGTTGCACCTAAGCCACCTTCGTTCAGCATACTGTCTGAAATTTTCTGAATTTAGGTCTTAATTCTAAATTTTCAGGATTCAATTTATCATCATCATCACTATAAAATGTCTCCTAACCTAATTATTACTTTTTTTCACTTACCAATTTTATAACAACGAAATCTTGTTGTATTTCAAATATTTGATTAGCAACTAAATATGGTTCTTTTTAATCGTCACTAAGATAAATATAAGGTTTATTACTGTTTAAAAGTTCTTTGTGTTCTATTGTCATAATATTCATGATAAAAGTTGATAAATAGAAAAAATAAATTTTAAAATAGTTTTGGTTTTCAAAACTATTTTGACAAATCGAAACGAGTCTAGGATTAAAGCATAGCTTCAAAACCTATATTAAAAGTCAAACCTTGTGTCAAAGTCATTTAGGATCTAAATTAGTGTTGGTTAGTCTTGGAAATTTAATTTTCTTTGAAATATTTTTATTAGTTATTAATTACCTACAAGAATCCAGAGTGCTTATTAAGAAATTGGTTCAATATGGAGTTATTACATATTGATTGACAAATAAAATAAAATACTGTACATTCTGAATAGTGAAGTAATAATTGATAGTATATTTAATCAGACAAATAATTCATGTACTGGCAAATAAGTTTTTCAAGTCAAAACTTGACTTGTTGGAAATATTTATTTAAAAGTACATCGAATCTCGCTTATATATTTCTTTTCTAAATTAGAACAATCAAAATTACATATGTATTCCCAACATTAAAATAATACATAATTATAGTTATATACAAATTTAGAAAAGAACGCAACGTGAGCTTTTGCTTTTTACCTATAACACAGTCACGCATGTCGTGCTATACGAGATTAAAATTAAGTTGGATTTGGATTACGTCTTCATCACAAAGAGCAAAAAAATGACATCATTCAGGCCAAGACAATAGTATATTTTATTAAATTCGGCGCATTTTTTTTTTTTTGCCGTAACACCAATGTAGAGACATTTCTCTCAGGCCATTTCAGCGCACGGAACTCAACCTTCTACATTCAACCACATGTCCCTGTCCTCTTCAAGCAAATCAAGATAAAATTCAAGTTTACGCTATTATTTATTGTTATACAACGTTTCGTTCGGAGCATCAAAATTAGCCAATCATATTATTATTTATTCATTAAATAAATGATGCTTTTCTTAAAACAAATCAACGGTATGTTCATCACACTAACTGAATACTAAATGAAGAAATAAAGCATTCTTAGTAGCATATATATGGTAACCAAAAACAATAATTAATTCAATTGGCTTTTCTTAAAATGTAAAAATTATTCTTACCAACAGTTTTTTTCGGCTGGAAAAAGATTTTATTATTATTAAACGTTTATCATGTGGGAAAAGGCAATTTAATCAAAAAATAAAATCGATAAAAAAAATTCCTTCCCAAAAAATCAAGCTTGAAAACAGACATTTTTTCCTGTTCATTGTCTGCATGCTTGCTTAAATACTATTTAAAAAACAAACCATTTACCGTACGACACAATTTTTGCTAAGCACGACTAAAATCGGCAAAAAACCTGCACGAAAATTACAACTTACGGATTTGGAAGGAGACAAATGTTCGATTACTTGTTGATTAATAAATAATTAATTTATGATTAACTCTGTTTTCTGTTTTGGATCTAGTTTCATGTCTGTTTTTATTAACATTCAACAAATTTTCTTGATAAAACCATCATGTTCACCACTTCTTCCTGTTGTTTCTGTTATTGCTGTGGTGGAGGAGAATGATAATATCAAATGTGTTTGTGGGGAGGAAGTTGACAAAGAAGATAATGCCAAAGGCACCCATGAGGAAGTTGTTGATGATGAATTTCTTGGAATTTAAAAAAGTCCACTAGCTTCTTACCATCCAGAAATATATAGATAATATGAAAGGGAATTTTTGTTTGATTAATCAAAATATGATTGACCAAAATATCTATTTTTTAATCTTGACAAAAAAAAAATCACATGAATGAATATACACAACCTTTGATTTAAAATTTTATGAAAAATATCTGACAACTATTTTTTTTTTCGGAAGTTAAAATTTTTTTAAAAGAAAACTCTAATTTTTAAAGTACTATTTCCAAGTATCTTGAATTATAAACGACTGGATTCTATCTCATTTAACTGAACTATTACCTCACCAAAAACTGATTTTAATGAATCTGATTGTGAATAGAATTAATGACATTTTTTCTTTTATGTAAATTATAGTTTTTTCTATTGTATGTTTATGAACAAAAAAGATGAGCTTCTACAGCCCAAAACAAAAACTCAACAAACACAAAGAAGATGCAATTATGTTTTTATGCAGTAAATTCGTGAATGATAATAATAATAAATAAATGACAACAATGATGATGATAAAGTTATTATCCTGTTTTGATATTTATTTTGAAATAGTTGTTGACTCGGAAACATGTTTAATAAAATTATGTTTAATGTTAATAAAGCATAAACAAAATTTTCCACAAAAAAATTCCTTCCCAAAAAAATTAATCTTGAAAAACAGTTTTTTTCCTGTTCATTGTGCTCGCTTTGCTCTGCACTTCAAAGCATTGCCCTGCACACTTACTTGAGACTATTTAAAAAAAACATTTGCCATACAACACAATTTTTGCTAAATATGGTATGGCGAAAACATTGATTATGAAAAACCAAACACAACTAAATGTAAAAAAAGACAATTGATAAAAAACCTGTATGAAAATTTATTTGTTGTTAACACTGTTTTCTTAGCATAGTGGAAATTTGTTTCATCCAATATGTTACACTGAGCCTGTTTTCCTTGAAACTTCATTAGCATATAGTTTTCACCTCTCTAAGTTGGAGGTCCAATTTAGATCCAGTTTATCACCTACTTTTTCTTACAAAAACATTCACTGTAACCTATGTTTGTTGGTTATATTGATCATTTTTTATGATCTGCAACCAATTTCCACTATGCTTGTTTTCTTTTGATTTAGTTTTAGTTGAACCCTTTTCACCATCCAACAAAATTTTTCTTGATAAAAAAATTATGTTCACCACTCCTTCCTGTTGTTTTATTATTTCTACTAATGAATGGTGGAGGAGGATGATAATATCAAATGTGTTTGTGGGGAGGAAGTCAACAAAGAAGAATATAATACCAAAGGCACCCACAAGGAAGCCGATACAACTCTAGGATCAACTTTGAGTAGGGAATTTCCAAGACTCTAACTTTGGTAGTGATCTACATGATAAAAATTTGCGCGTTCTAAGATATTGATATAAATTTGTGCATAATTAATTTGAAATATCAACTCATGAAAGGGTTGAAGAGGAGCTGCTTCTAAATCTATTTCAAAAAGTGAAAGTTTTAATGAAGACGAATTGGAGTACCCCGAAATTGGCAGAAGTTGCCTTTTGAACTGGATAAATAATTTGTTGTCATTATCAGTAAAAGGAACTATTGTAGATACTTTGCTGTTCGTCATTTATTATTACTATTATTTACTATGGTTATTATAATATCTCGTCAAAATTATTTGTTTTATCATTATGAATTTGAGTATTCAAACTACATTGAAATAAACAAATAAAATGAATAATTCGAATGTAATGAATAATCTGAATAGAACAAATAATTCAAATATAATGAATAATTCGAATGTAATGAATAATTCGAATAGAACAAATAATTTGAACGACAAATGTTTGAAATGATTATTGATTGATAAATAGTACTAACTTATTTGTAACTTATCCTACTATAAAATAAAGATAACATATATTTTTAAAACTATTAAAATATTTGTTCAGAAAACATTTCATTTAAAAAGTAATTCTTTCAAAACTCAAATGGAATTTGCAGAAAATTTTTCCTAATACTTCAATTATATAAATCATTTTTAAAATGTCATAATATTCTTGCACCTGATAAAAAATGATGGTAATTTTTTTGATGATAATTTATTAATAATTTTTTGATATAGCTTGAAATGAACAATCAAATTTATGATGTCTAAAAAGAAACTTTATCAATTAAAGAACAAGAAAAAAATTAATAATAGTATGTTAGAATTTATACAAATATCTGAAATAATGAACATTCAAAATAATTACGTGTATCCGAAATAATTACGTGTACCCGAAAATAATATTCGAAATTCGTAATTTTGGATTTATAAATATTCGAATATGGAGTTATAATTACAGTTAGGAACCCTACTTTCAACTCTAAAGATTAATTAATTAAAAAGCAGGAATTTCGACGTCAAATATATTATATACCCCTTTTCTAAAAACGCGCCCAATTTTTTATCAATAATATTTATTGATAATCTTAATGATAAATATCTTCTTTGTGTTGCAAATAATTTTGAAATTCTCTTTGTGATAGTTTATATAGTAATTGTTAAAGAAAAAATAATCAATGACAACACCAAGTTGCTCCGAACGAATATCATTATGGTTCAACTTAATTAATAGAATGTCGTTAAAAAAAAAATTAAAAATAAAAATAAAAATAAATGAGTTTAAATTTTAAAAATATTTGTTATTAGCAATGTATTTTCGGCTGTTAGTATAGTGTCACATAATAAACTTTACATTCTTGGGGGTATAAATCCAGAAGCAGAAGTATATATAATTGATTCGTTTTTTTACGTGGATTTAACTAAAGATTTTGATATTACAAATGTATCATGGGTAGAAATTGACAAAGTACCTATAGACAGTGCTTGGTCTATAGGTGCAGTTGGTGGATTGGACAAAGCAACAATAATTTTATTTGGTGGAATTATGGTAAATACAATTCCCGGAGATTATAATTTTACAAATTTGCTTTATGCATACGATGTAAATACAAAAATTTGGAATGCTCCAAAATCAACTGTTGATGCACCCATTAATCGTAAAGAAAGTAAAATTGTATATTTTTGGTCTGAAGTCACTGGATCTACTACTAGTAAATATTTTAATGATATCCACACTTTGGATACAAAAGACTTGATTTGGCATAAAGTCATCACTAAAAATCTACAAAAACCAAGTACTGACCATACTTCAACCTTATTGCCTGATGGTATAATTGTAATTATTGGTGGACGCGAAGCAAGTGATGCTGCAGGCACAAATATTTATGAAGCTGACATTTATAAAGTACACATTTATTTATTTATTTATATATATATGGAGATTTTAATTATATAATTTCAGTTTTTTTTTTAATACGCATGTAATTATTTTATAGATAAAAATTT